TAAATGAGCTGTACTCATCTGTGAGAGAGAGAAAGGCTAAGGTTATGTGGTCAAGTGCATTTTTGGAAGGAGATTGAAGAGCAAAAGGCTTAGAACGAGAAGAGGCCCTTGGATCCGATGTTCTTTCAGAGCTAGCTACTTTTTGGAGGTAAAAAGCTACCACCTTGATCACTATTTGGTTAGATCTCTTCACCAGGAGTTTTGGCCATTTCCATCCTTTCTTTGGGTCCTTTAGTTGTTTGAGTTTGCCATGGAGTTGAGACTTCAGATCTGGACAATATGAGGTCCCTTGGGCCTAAAGATTCAAGCTTTATCAAGCTAATGGCCAGCTTTCATGCATTAAACCCTTTATAGAGCTTGTTTTGGCATTTTGAGCCCTAGATGCCATGCATGGACGTAAAGCTTGCAACTTTACGTGATACTTCAGCCTTAGAAGGCTAGATCTAGAGTATGAGGCCTTAGTTCTTCTTAAAAACGTCTGAATGAGAGAATGTACTGAAGGGACTCGACGAGTTGATGAGCCAACTCGACGAGTTGGCTAGGGTTTTCCCCGATAGTCTGGACTCGTTGCAACTCGGCGAGTTGGTGAGACAACTCGACGAGTTGAGTTGGATTTTCCTGATTTTTTTCAGAGAAACGAAGGAACTCGACGAGTCGCATAGATGCACTCGATGAGTTGGGTCAACATGGACTGTTGACCCGAGCGTTGACTTCGGTTGACTTTTAGGGTTTGGTCAAGACATGAATTATGGAGACCATGGAGGGGTAAAATAGTCTTTCACCCTTTCCGAGAGTGAAAGAAGGGGTTAGCCTAACTTTTAGAGTTGTGGTTATAAAGTGTTAATTAGAGATGATTATATTATGTAGGCGGAGTCTAGACTGTTCGTGCGGTGTTCGGTCTACTTGCTTACTTACGAGATGAGTCTTCTCACTATACTTACCTAAGTGGTAATATAGTGTGACCGGAGGGTCTTATATGCTTATACTGAGTTATGTGATATCATGCATTTGTATTTGTGATTGATGATGTATATTATTCTGTGCTTTATTGGTTAGGACCGGAGGGTCCAACCCGAGTTGTGAGACCGAAAGGTCCTCACTGAGACACATGGACCGGAGGGTCCTTATCGAGATATAGCCATGAGAGGCTAATTATTTGTGTGTGGTATTTTGAGGAACTCACTAAGCTTCGTGCTTACAATGTTGTGTGATATGTGTTTCAGGTACCGACTTGATTGTACCCACTAGTTAGAGATTTTGTCTTTGAGGATTCTATGATATTATCAAACATTTGTTGACTTGTGTTTTGGACAAATTATACATTTTGTGGTTTTGAGAAATGTTATATTGGGTTTTATGTGATTTTAAAAATGAAAAATTTATTTGAAAATTTTGGAGTGTTACAGGTTTAGAATCATAACCACCACCACGAGGAGGGGGCCGCCGCCGCGAGCCACCGTTGACCACCACTACCCGAGGTGGTAGTGGGTGGTGCCTGACTTAATTAAGAATTAATTAACCTAAAAACTTAACTAATGGACTAATTGGATCGTGATTGGGTTGGAAACCCTAATTAGGGTTTAGAAAACCTTAATTTTGGATTTGTTGGTTTGGACTTATCGGGACCCGCATTTTGGGCCATTAGAATTGAATTATGAATTACACCTGATCACACCATATGATTGATCTAGAAGAGTGATGAACTTAATGGATTAAGTCCTTAATGGGTTAAGTAAGAAACACTTAACCCTAATCATCATTTTATGTGAAAACCCTAATTTTGCTTGGGCCTTGAGTTGGGCCTTACTATTGGGTTTTGGTGATTGGGCTAATGATGGGCCATCCAAGAACAAGCATATGTACTAGAACAATTAGATGGGCTTTAGGGTAAGGCCCATGTGAGGGGTTTGGGCCCAATTTGGAAAATTGGGCCATAGATGGGCCATAAGGCCCATAACTGAGCCTTGATGATTATAAGATGTTGGACCATTGGAATGCTAAATGTTTGGACTAGAATAAATAGTTTGGCCTTAGGGTAAGACCATGTAAAGGTTTGGGCCCAATTTGGAAAATTGGGCCATATGTTGGGCTTTGGTTCATAGTTTGACTTTTGGGCCTTGAGCTTGAATCAAGCTAAGGTGGGGGTAAAGTAGTCTTTTACCCCAATCATGGACTTATGGTTATGTATTGGAACCCAATTATTAATTGGGTGTTATTTTGATGTTGACAGTTCGGGAATCTGTCATCCAACAACTAGAGTTTTGTTCGAAGGACTTCAACAATGTGATGTGAGTTGCCTTCCAGTAGAGGTGGGTCTAAGGCATCAATGTCGGCCCACCAGTAGGTGATTATGTTTGAGATGATTGTCTTTGTGATAATTGTCTGGTTTGCCACTATCTGATATGCCTGATGTGCTAGGTTGCTATGATATATGTGTTAGTAGTAGCAGGGGTGAAATAGTCCCCGAATACCGGTTGAAAGAGACCGAAAGGGGTAGACAATACCCATGTATGCCTAGCAGTATGTTCATGTTATGTTATTATGTGGTAGTGGTAGGGGGTGAAATAGTCCCCGAAACCGGTTGAGATAAATCGGAGGGTAGGTCGGGCACCCTGATATGCCTGACAGGGGTAGGTCGGACACCCCGGTATGTCTGATAGGGGTAGGTTGGGCACCCCGATATGCCTAACATGGGTAGTTGAGCACCCCGGTATGCTCAGCAGGGTAGGTCGGGCACCCAGATATGTCTGAAAGGGGTAGGTCGGGCACCCCGGTATGCCTGACAGTATGTTATTTGTATGGTATGTGGTATGATGGGGGAACTCACTAAGCTTCGTGCTTACGGTTTTCTGTTTTGGTTTTAGGTACTTCGTTTTCAAAGGAAAGGAGTCGGCGATCGCAACGCATCACACTATGTTTTCCGCACATGAGATATTTGGGATTATACTCTGATATTGATTTATGATGACATGTTTTTTGATTATTGACATACTGGTTTTGACATGGGATGATATTATAAATGTTTTTATACTATTGGTTTTTATAACAACTTATTTAAAAATGAAATTTTTAGTCTTAAATTTTGGGATGTTACAACAACCATCGCCGCAACAAAAAACCTCACTCGCCTCACACCCATTCCCGCCCTTTGTCTTTCTATATGACACCACACGATGAAATCACCTCCGCCGAACTACAATTTGTTCAACATATTAGAAATAAGGGTTTGGAATGGAAGAGTCAATGATAAATGAGACATGTCATTGACAGAGACAGTGGCGATTGGAAATAGCTTTGGTATAGAAAGAAAATTATGACGACGAATCGAAGACAAAACTCTCTTGGTATTGAGAATGTTTAACCACTTTCTTTATAACTAACGCTCCATATGGGTGAAACGACTCGGCACTACAATAGCGTTTTTAGAAATACAACCACCTTGTTAATATAAAGATGGGTAACAGGTGGTTGTAATGAATGAAAGGAAGACGTGGATAGAATTTCGTCATCACAAGATCTATAAAGGTGGGTAACATCAAAACTTTTGAAAGAAAGTCAAATGAAATTCTAATCAACAATATGAAGTTATCTATAAACATAGAGAAATACAATCAAAATGACATGAAAAGGCCAATCCGAAAAATGTATCGAGAAGAATAAAACATATGAACCATTACTTGGTGCAAAATTAGATTTGTATAAGATTGGACGCAGTGACTCGACAAGGACTCAACAGTTGCTGATGTGGACTCGGTTAACATCACGTCGCATACTCGACATGTCGAGTTCTGAAGCCTAACACAGCGACCAGCTACCGAGTTCTTCTCTCTTTGGCATCTTCTTCCCCCCACTCGACATCCCACCCCTTCTCTTCTTCTTCCTCCCTTCGTTCTTTGTTGGAGCTAATGTGGAGTTTGCCACCCTATACATGACTCCCTTCGGCCTAAATGCTTGGGGAGCAAAGAAGGATGATAACTTCATGCCCTGGAAGTTAGAAAAGGAAAAATCAAATGCATATCCATCCAAAAATTGCACCTTTTACTAGTAATGCAATAAAATTCAAATGATTTTGAAATCATGTACTTAGCTTAACAAATTTATCCCTTTATTATAAGTTAAACTCTATATATTGACCTATTTTATGTTAATTTGACATGATTCGTGGTTTCCAACCCTATATTAAAAAATTTATTGGTTGAACTACTGCCGTAACACACACGGGTTCAAACCCTCACCCTCGTTACCGAAAATTTGTTATCATTCTACGAGTTTCGATTTATTTATTACAATTATCCATAAAACTATCCGTATATTGTTATTATAGAAAGTAATACATGCATTATAATATTAGTCTAACTACAAAATAAAATGATCATTTTGTTTACTCGATTTAATCCTAATCGTCCAAACCCTGGCGTAATTTGTAAAATTTGATTTGGGAAGCACTGTAGCACATGCTCCATCACTGAGCATGAGAATAGTCTCTACTTTAACTACGATTAGTTCCCACGTGCAGATTAACCCTGGTTAATTTTCACGCGCTCCTCTGCCCCCTCAGTCCTCACACACCACTCGCATTTTGTATGCACAGAGAATAAAACCCACGTCCACAAGACGACAGGCTTTCGGAAACCCTAATTCTCCCAAAAGTTTCTCTCTCTACATTGATGTGCATACAGATTTATGCATACATGCACGCTTATCGGAGCTGATTATTGTCTCGCTCCGTCGATCGTGGGATCATTCTCTCAGCGGCAGAATCAAAGGTGCGATTAGTATCATAATTTTCATTTCGGCGTCGATTTTGTTTAAGCTTTTGTATCTCAATCTGATCCTTCTGCTTTTTGTATGTTCTGGCCGAAAACGATCGTATCTGCCATTTTTGGCTATATAATCTGAGCTTACAGTGAAATGATTCGTATACTTTAATGCTTCTGTGAGAACATCTAAACTGCTTGAGCTCTTGAGGATGTCTGAATCAAGTTTTTTTAATTCGTTTAATGAAAAAATTCTTCTTAATCGGCGGTTTTCCCGGAAAATGCAGTAAAATTTGGTCGGGAAAACTTTCTGTTTTTGTTGCGTGTTGGTTCTGTAATCGAGGTGAATAATTTCCTTCCATCTTCATATAAATATTTGTCTTCTTAAGCTTATTTAACAAGCTGGTTCTTCCCATTGAATAAAGTGAAAAACCGAATAGGAAATCCTTTAGTCAAACTCCTCTATGATTCGGCGGTAGATTTCTTTTCCTATTGTTTTCTCTTACGCAAAATTTGATTGATTCGATGTTTACGCCTTACTGTGTACTAATTAATATTATAATAATCTCGTGTTTATGCAGTACAAGTACAAGTCGCCATTTCAATCTCTCCGCTCCTGTTATCTATAGAGTCAAAAAAACGATTCTCACAATCTCGCTCTCCGTCTGATCCTTACGATTTCTTCGTACAGCCTACCGGACGCATATGTATACAAAACGTTGATGATAGCTACGCTAAAGTTCATCGTTCGAGTTTAGATCCGAATCAAAGCAGACAGATATAAACGTTTCATCAGCTTAGTTTCTCCGATTCCTCTATAAGTACATGCTTAAGCTCCAGTTTCCGGCGAAAATATAGGTTCCGATGAATTTGAGGTCCGGTAATGGTTTCACGAAGAAGGAATTATCGTTAAGGCTGCGTATCGCATTGGTTACGGCCACATGTACGGTGGTGCTAGTGGTTGTTGCGTTCGTTACAGGTGTGGTATTCATCGCAGTTCCCATTAAATCCTCTTATTAAATCCGCTTTTATATTTTCATCTATCCCACCTTAAATTCAACTTTGATGTTCAATCGTTCACCACTTGAATTTTCTCTACCTTTAGACACGATGGGTCCAGTTCCTAATTCACACACCATAATTTTGTCGTCATCATTGAATGAACAACTCGGATTCTATCAACACCTTTTGAAAACGATTTACATCTTTATTAATTAATTAACCAACTTATAATAATTTACATCATCTCTTGATCTTATCAGGTACGTTGCAATATGGTCGTATATTAGTGGAGCCTAGGAGTACTCTCGTTGTTGCCAAGAGTACTGCTTACAACAGCACGATAAATCCCAGTCTCCATCGCAAGCTTCTTCACAATCATGGTAAATTCATGTTCCTTTACTTATTTCGTCATCATAACAATTAATAACAACAACAATCTCTCATAATAATAATAATAATAATACTTATTATTACCATTGTGTGAATTAAAATTTGGTATCTGTATTTTTGCATCAACATTGTGTCTGTCATCTCCGGTGAGCTTTTTATGCTTAAACGCTGCACACTGCAGCACTGGGGAAACGACACACAGCCTCTTTGCTCAGATATGTTGGTGTTGAAGTACGGCTTCTGTTGTATTTGGTGGTGCACGTATGTTTCATTCTACTGGTCAATTCTATTACATGCTGGTGCTTTACCATTCCCCATTTAATAACCCCATGCAAACGATTTGGACTTATCCTTATATAATAAATAATATATAAGGTATAATCCACAACAAGTTTTCACTTAATTATTCTAGATAGAGACCTATGAAGCCTGAAAATTTACCTAATTTGTTAATTTATTAGTACGTATTTAAGTTTCGAACCTGTAAATTTATTTCCATTAAGTTCCACCTACTTTATTAATTGGCAATTTTAACTCAACCATATCTTTTACAAGATTTTTTTACATTCATTATGGTATTCTTTTGCCAATGATTAATAGAAAACTATTTGCTCACTTTGCTATACGTATATATATACACTATATAGTACATTCTTATAAATTTTTTTATTTGTTTTTGTATTAGATGGTCAACCTTACTTTTCCCTATATTTTTAATATTTTATGTGTACCTTTGTTAGTCATATTTCCTATGATATGTAATATAGGTTTGCAAATAATGTTTTTGTTGTATTGGAGATTGGTCCTAAATCTATAGGCTATTGTTGTTATGTGTAAAAAGTTAGGTGGTGATTTTTATGTAGCGAAAGAAACAGATAAAACTCATAGTAGTAATATGACTGTAGTCCCTAGAACTACATTAAATTGGAATTTGGATGCTAAATGTCACATGTGAGTCGTTCATTAGACCATATTTGGAATTTTCATTTGAATCGACAATATGCGCATTTTGGTGAAAGGTAGCGCATGTTAGCTTGCCAGGCATCTATTTCTCATTAATTGGAAATGTTATTAATTTGTTATCCATGCTTAATATTGATTTGCCAATTTTTTTTTTTTTTTTATTTATTTATTTTTTTTTTTTCATGTTACACCATAACGAAAAAAGTCTGGGTTTTGTCTTTCTAGATGATGGGTTCCCTCCGTATTTTAAAATTTTAATATAATATTTTGTTGTATTGATTCTAACTTCTTGGTGATTTCTTCGGTATTTTGCATTTGATAAATAATATAATAAAAGATTTTAATCAATAACAAAATCTTATATAATAAAAGATTGTAATTGAATTTATTTATTTTAAATTACCAATATTTTATATTATAGACTGATACATGTAATGATAGGTCAATTTCTGAAGGAACATTTAAAATTACGTACATGTGTTTTATAATATAATAAACAAAAGAACAATCTTTTTGTTTTGGTACAAATAAAAGAGTTATAAAATACTTACTCAGATTGTTATTATTCCGTATTTAGTGGCTATAAAATATTTACTCAGATTGTTATTACTTCTTTTTTTTTCGAAAATTAACAAAAATATTACACTAGTTTAACATTGTTTATCTTTGAAAAAGAAAAGATTATATCGATCCTGAAAGCTAAAATTACAGAGAAGTACTCTGACCTGCCGGGAAACAAAGAAACAAAAACCTGCACACGTTAGAAACGAAAGGAAGTAATAAAATTGTCAAATCATTTTTTCAGAAGAAAATAAAAGACTAAAAAAATGGTTTAGGGACAAAAGCAAAATACTTTCTTCTCCTTCCTAAAATTTTGTTAAAGTGTATGGCAAAAATGTTGACTTTTCACTTATTTTGCCCTTTTTACGTAAAAAAATTAAAGCAAAAGAAAGTCACCATCTCCCTCTCTCTTATTTTGTTTTGTATTTTACTGAATGAATTTGGTTTGCGCAGCAACACAGGTGGAAATAAACCGAATATGGGGCGACAAGTGTTCAAAATCCGACATTGTCATTAACCAGGGTCCCACAGATCCCCTCCCAAGCGGCATCCCCACTTACACAGTTGAAGTCATGAACGTTTGCACCACCGGCTGCGACATCTCCGGCATCCATCTCAGCTGCGGTTGGTTCAGCTCCGCCAGGCTCATTAACCCCCACCTCTTCAAACGCCTCCATTACGACGACTGCCTTGTCAACAACGGCAAACCCCTCGTTAACGGCCACACCATCTCCTTCCAGTATGCTAATACCTTCCGTTACCCTCTTTCCGTTTCCTCCGTCATCTGCTCATGACCTACGTACGTGGCAATCTTATTTTTTCCTTTGGGAGTTTTGGGTTAATTCCTTCCCTACTATAATTTTTGCACAAGCATCAGATTCAGATGTCAAAATTCAACTCTCTAGTGTAATGCAACGTCCAATTCAACTAAACATTAAAGGGTTTACGTACATTTAATTTCCAGTTTGTAGGGGAGGAGAGAGACTGCCTACTTGTATATGAGATGATTAGAGCTGAAATTTTGGTAGATATAACTTCCGCTACTATGTGTATATCTATATATACATACACATATACATATATGTATATGTGTATGTAGGTTGCCTTGCATTCTAATTCAGTCGTTAAACTTTTTTATCAACAAAAATTATTTACGTATTTTAAATTTACTTAACTTAAATTGTACCAACCTGGACAAAACAAAATAATGAGACCCTTACAATATAAAAATAATAATAAAGAAGGTGACTTTTTTGTTTTTTTATTTTTAAAAAAGACCATTGCTATAAATTTCTTCTTAAATCGTTTTGTAATATTGCTAGATTATGACACGCGAGAACATATAAAAAAAAATACATATAAAGGTTATAACTAATCAATGTTTCGCAAAAAATTATTAATTATAAAGATAGAAGTTTTATCATAATGGTTAAAACTAATATATACATTGTTATGAATATTCGATCTAGTCGACATTTATTTCTATTTTCAAATGATTATATAATCTTTTTTTAGTTATGAGATATAAAAATGAAACTATTTCTATCTTTCTTCATATTGTTCTCATTTGATGGAAAATCAATTAACCTACTAATAAGATCCAGAACGATAGGGTTATGATACAAATTCAATGTCTCAATCAAAAACATTTTAGCTTAAAATTTTAAAACATTATATGCAAGTTTAGATTGAAACTTTGTCAAATTACTAAAATGCCCTTGACTATGTTTTGTATTTTTAAACTAAAACGTTGCCAAATAACTAAAAATGCCCCTAATCATCTTTTTATAAGTTTAGATTGAAACCTTGCCAAAATATTCATACTTAGTAAGTTTAGACTGAAACTTTGCTAAATTACTAAAATGCTCATGATCAACATGTCACTAATCATCTTTTTATAAATTTAGGCTAAAACCTTGCCAAACTATTCATACTTAGTTAATTTAGACTGAAACTTTGCCAAATTACTAAAATGCTCACGATCAACATGCCACTAATCATCTTTTTTTTTTTTTTTTTATAAATTATAGCACCCGAGTCGCCAGGTATGAAGTTAATGATTCATTCTATTTTAATTCAAGTAAAAAGGTGGTGGGGGACTCGTGAGTACATTGGGCATACACTTGGTACGCACGGCGTACTCCTTGCATGCGCATCATCGGTTGATTCCCGACGTACGTTGGGCGTACCTATGCGTACGTTGTTACGTTGGGCGTACTCAAGTCAGGGAAACCCTAATTTTTAGGGTTTGCACCCTATTTAAAGACCTTAAGTCCCTTAAGTCTGTTACCCTCTTAGCCTTCACTGCCCTTTTAGTGTCAATCTTGAACCCAAGCCTTCTTGAGTGCATCTTTGAGCTTACCTTGAGTGTTTTGGTGTTCTTTAGTGGTTTTGAAGAAGAATGATGTTTGGGAAGAAGCAAAAGAGAAGAAGGAGCTTGTAGATCCAGAGTTTGTGCACCATTTCTAGCCTACTGAAGGTATAAAGTTTGAACCTTGATCATTACAAGCTTAGATCTAAGTTTAGGGTAGATTATGACATCTTTTGGTCCCATAGCTTGGTTTCTTTTGGAGTATGAGCAACTCCAAGCCATTTGAGTTGTCCTTTTGGACTCTTGAAAGTGTGTGTGGTCATAAAAATCATATCTTGGAAGTTAAGACTCAACCATGCATGTGTTAGTGACCAACTAAGTGAGTTTATGAGCTTAATTCATAGTTTGATCCCCAACAAGGCATGCAAAAGCATAAAGTTTACAACTTTATGGATTAAGACGTTATTTTGAGCTTGGATCTAAGTTTTGGACGTTAGGGCTTAAGGGAGTAAGTCATGGGAGCATTTTTGGCTGACTGACCAGTACCCTGGGCGTACGAGCCGTGTACGTCGTGCGTATGCAGTGTGTGGGCTTAAATGACTTGTGGGCTCGATTAGTGTTGGGCTTTTGGACTTGCTTAGGTTGGGCCTCAAGCCTACCTGTTATTACATGACATTTTTGGGCCTAAGGCCATGTTAGGTGTTCTTGGGCCATATTGGGCCTTAGAGGCCTTATAGTTGGGCTTGGATGCCTTTTTGGACTTTGTATGGTTTTGGGTCTTGGAGGGAGGGAGGCCCAATGAGGCAAGGGTAAAGAAACCCTTTTTGCCTTAAGTCAAGAATTAGGGTTTGGGCTTTCGAGTTAGAATGTGGCCTAATTTTTAATTAGGATTTTATGTTTGTGCGTTAGGAAGAGGATTTCGCGAGTCATCCGTCGAGTGCAATTTGATATCTTCACTCTGAGGTGAGTCTTCCTTTTGCAGTATTCGTTGGTCGAAGGGACCAATGTCGGCCCACTAGTTGTATATGCTTGATGACTCTGTGATTCCTGTTATGATATTATGTGGTAATAGTAGGGGGTGAAATAGACCGGGTATCCGATTGAAATCGACCGTAGGGGATTAAAAGCACCCAAATATGCTTGATAGTATCCAGTTGAAATATACCGAAGGGGCAAGCAAACATCCAGATATGATTGGCAGTATGTTTGTTTAGTATGTGGTATTTTGGGGGAAACTCACTAAGCTTCGTGCTTACAATTTTCAGTTTCTGTTTCAGGTACTTCTAGTTTGAAGGGGAAGGGCCCGGCCTGATCCACTACAGCCCTTTTACGACGTGCAAACCGACGTGCAAACCACGACACTTAGTGATTTATGTTACGCAAAAGAGAGTGACATTAAGAAAGTGTCATCTCTTCAAAAAATTTAAGGATTTAGGTCACGCATTATTGCGTGCCCTTAAATTAGTGTCTCATGTAAAAGTATTAAAAACACGGAGGGCACTTGTGCGTCCTCACTGAATGTCGTTTTATATTTTTTTTAAGAAACGCGCGTCTCCGAGGGAAAATGAAATCCCCAAATTTTTTAAACCCCACCTTCTTCTCCCTCGTCTCCACCCCTCATCCACATCCACTGCCTCCAATCCTCATTGCCTCTTCTAGCCTCAAACTGTGGCGATGCACCTTCCTTCTCAAAGAATGCTTCATTTACCACCATCGTCTGATTATGTGAGCCCAAGGAATTGACGTAGACGAAGAAAATTATGGATCAATCGCTTCACATCATGTTTAAGGTTAAGGGTTTGAGATTTCTTCCAAATCGACCCTCACACTAAATGGTTCGATCTCCTCTCTTTTTACCTTGTTCCCTCTACTACCATCGATGTTGATCTTTGAATTAGCAACAAGATGCCCTAGGGCCTCCGCCTTCACCCACCTCCAGCGCCTCCAACAAGAAGCCCTAGGGCCTCCGCCTTCACCCACCTCCAGCGCCTCCAACAAGAAGCCCTAGGGCCTCCGCCTTCACCCACCTCTTCACCCACGTCCAGCGCCTCCGCCTTCACCCACCTCCAGCGCCTCCAACAAGAAGCCCTAGGGCCTCCGCCTTCACCCACCTCTTCACCCACGTCCAGCGCCTCCAACAAGAAGCCCTAGGGCCTCCGCCTTCACCCACGTTCTCACGGTCGATCGTGAATCGGTTTTCAGGTTCTTCCAAGATTCAAACAATACGGAGGTGGAGGTAGGTTCCGATTTCGTATCAAAAGACTTCACCTTCAGGCGGAACAAAAACCTAGGGATCAATTCGATTAATCAGTAGAAAAAGTCAGACGTAATCTCAAAACTTGGCATGGAAAGAGTCTTGAAATCCACTTCATGTAAGTTATTCAACATGGATTGTCTATCTCCTGCTTCTTCTCTTAAATTAATAGCAGCCGGCAAAAGAACTTTGAGAATGATATCTGGTGCTTTCTTGATTCTCACCCAAACTGTGTTTTCTTGCAGGTTCGTTCATTAAGTTGCTACCCTCATCGACACACAATTAAATTAGTATCGGCCAAATATGCTACAATAGAGGATGGTTTCGTGGGTTCTTTCACCTTTACACCAACGAAGGTGGAGCTAGAGAGAGAGTTTATGGTGTGCAATTAAAGCTATTCAAATATGTTATTTGCCAGCCTCATCCAAGTTTCAGAACCAACTTATTCTCGAATAATCTCTGCTCAGATCCAATACCTTCCTTATTGTTATCTCACTCTTTAATTTTCTATTGCAGTTTACTCATGATCTTGAGCAACTGGTCATACGGGACCTTACCAAAGAGAGATGCTACACGTTTTTTTTGTGCAGTTAGTCTCTCTCTCTCTCTCTCTCTCTCTATATATATATATATATATATATATATATATATAATTTACATATTTAATTTAATTTAATTCCTTTGAAGTGAATAAAGATGAGTAATTAATATATCATAGGTGAAAAAGTTTGGAAACGATAGCCAAATGAGGTTGATAGCTGCAGAGGTTGGTGGGTCTGCTGAAGCTGCTCCAGTAGATGCACAGGTTGAGCTTTTTGATGTTTTATTAGATGGTTGCAGAGAAGCAGTTAAAGGAGGAACTATGGACCCTAAGGTTAACTTACTTTCTTAAATTGCTCTATTCTATTCCATTAGAGTTTCTTATCAATTACGTGAATAGAAATGGGATTGTGGTTAACTTTAAAAATGATTTGTTTTGATGTTTAATCAAATCAGGGGCCATTGTTGGATTTTTTTGGTGCTCCTGTGAAGGCTAATGATGTATTAAGTCGAGTGGAAGAACTTCAACTCCTTGCAAAACGAGTAAACTGCTATAATGATCCAATCTCACAGTTTCAGGCTTTGATGTACCTCAAACCTGCAACTTGGTCTAAAGGTTGTGGCTGGAATCAGAGTAGATTTTTTCTCACTACATAAATAAATGCAAAGGAACTCGGTAGCTGTTCGTAAGCTAATTCACTACAAGGGACAACCGGATCCATTGAAGGGCGATGCCCTTAATAAGTCTGTAAGAGAAACTGCTCAAGAAGCTTTATCAGCTATATTTGCTGGAGAAGACAACAGTAAACCACCACCACAAGAAGGTCTTACACAACGTATACAAGGTTTTGGAAACACAAACTTTGACGTTCCATCTGATGATAAGAAGTCGTTTCTTAGTGATATGGTTGGCATTGGAAGTGCAACAATCAAGCAAGGGTTAAATAGCTTATCACAAGCTCAAACTCATAATAAAAATGACACAGGAACTTACAGGGGCCCTAATCTGAGAAGATCATTGACTAATGAATCGAGTTACTCTGATAGCAAAGAACTTTCTAGTCAGGCTGCACTTTCTTCTAGGTCATCAACAAATGCATCTGGATCTTGGAGTCAAGATCTAAAAACAAGTCAAATAGATACCTGAAAATGGGAATGCAAGCTCAAGTTATTCGAATGAAAAGAGTCGTGAAGAGAGGTTATTAGAGACCATTGTAACATCTGGTGGTGTTCGCCTTCAACCTACTCGTGATGTCATTCAGGTGTTCTTAATGGAGGCCTCAAAATTGAATGCAGTAGCTTTAAGTCATGCTCTAGAAGCCAAACTCCAATCTCATATGTGGCAGGTATTTGATTGGTGTTTTTTTATCCTATATAAGATTTAGTTTCCTATGTTTGTCACATTGAAATCCTTTCATATCTTGCTTCATTGTTCTTTAAACCAGGTACCTGGAACATTATAGATGAAGAAGATGTCCCATGTGGCCCACATTGTTATCTCCAGGTAATTGCTATTTCTCCCCATTTTTTTTAGCATTACATAGGTATTAGAGTATGAAAAATCATCTAGAGTATGAAAAAATAATGTTTTTAAATAATTTATTATGAACAATAATCCTCCTGAAAGTTTTTCATAGGATAATATGCAAAACACGAGTTTCTTGACTCATTTAGACTTCCACAGACCCTCTGTTTTGTGAATTACAGAAAAATAAATATGATATTTATTTTTCCAAAAGTCAAAAAGGCTAAATTGGAAAATGTATCAAGTTTTGATAAATAATATCCAGGTAAAAAATTATTACATATGCTAATGGGTAACAAGCAAGATCTTACATAAATTATTTTTACTTGATTTATTTTTTTTAGGTGGTTCGATCTATTGCTTCAATGGTAGATGAGACATTACGCCCCCAACTAATGACACTCCTCCCATGCATTTTCACCTGTGTCCGCCATTCTCATGTTGCTGTGAGACTATCTGCTTCAAGATGCATCACATCAATGGCAAAGTCAATGACAGTCAACATCATGGGCTCAGTAATCGAAAACATAATCCCTATGTTGGGTGACATGGCATCTGTGAATGCTAGACAAGGAGTAGGGATGCTAACGAGTCTGCTTGTTCAAGGATTAGGCACTGATCTTGTTCCTTATGCAAGGCTGTTAGTTGTCCCTCTTTTAAGGTGTATGAGTGATTGTGATCATTCTGTTAGAAGAAGTGTCACACACAGCTTTGCTGCCCTTGTCCCTCTTTTACCCCTTGCACGTGGTGTCTCTGCTCCTCCTGTATTGAGTGAATGCCTGTTGTCTAGAAGTAGTTGAAAGTCACCCTGAGAAGGTATCAGCAAGAGGGTATAAACTGGTTAGCCTTTTTAAAGAGGTTTAACCTTCATGGAATTTTATGTGATGATATGGGGCTTGGTAAAACCCTACAAGCATTAGCAATTATGGCATCTGATTTTGTGGAGCGAAGAACTTCAAATAACAATGAGGACCCTCCATCTTTAATCATTTGCCCATCTACCCTTGTTGGACACTGGGTATATGAGATTGAAAAATTCATTGATGCCTCTGTTATATCTTCACAGTTTCAAAACTACAATGTGATTCATATAGATGTTTAGCATTTGAGACAGATGTTTTGGAACTATTGTGTTTTGGATGAAGGGCATATAATTAAGAATGCAAAATCGAAAATCACATGTGTTGTCAAACAGCTCAAGGCACAACACAGGCTTATATTAATTGGAACACCAATTCAGGTTTGTTTATTTGCTCATTGAATTGGAGATTTGATTAGTTTAGTTATTCTGACTATGGTTTGTTTTATGCAGAATAATGTGTTGGAGTTGTGGTCTTTTTTTGACTTTTTGATGCCCGGATTTCTTGGAACAGAGAGACAGGTATGTTTTTATATCATTTACACTAATATAATATGTTATGCAATGCAACTGATTTTGGGTGTTTTTGTAGTTTCAAGCAACTTATGGGAAACCACTAGCTGCAACTCGTGATTCTAAATGTTCAGCCAAGGATGCTGAAGCAGGTGTACATGCCATGGAAGCATTGCACAAACAGGTATGCATGCAACTTTAGCTTTGTTTTTAGCAAGAAGAACATCTGGAATTCTTGTAAATATTGGTTTCCATCAAACATCTGTTGTCCCAAGTATGTTAGTCTTTCATCCTCTTACCATAATCACTAATACACAAGAATCATGTTACAAGCATTAAGTCGGTTTTTACAATGACGGAATCAACAAAGGAATGGAATTGCTGATTCCATTTGTGTCATTTCCAATTTTACATGGTAAAGTAATGCATAAAGTGGGTGTTGTATTTATGGATGTTGGAGGCTTAAAGCTTACTGAATACATTAAAGAGCAACTTCGTCTAAGAAATCTACATGTTTCTTCATTATACACTGTTCACTCATTGAAAGAGGTACTCCTTAGTCCTTATAAAATATATTTATTTTCATCATTTTTTTCTTAATAATGTTTTCTTGTTGTAGAATCTTTGCTATGTTGCTTTTGACTATGAGAGTGAATTAAAGAAGGATAATACAAAAGCATCCTACAAAGTTGCTTCTGAGGGATTCTTTACTCTCGAGAAAGAACGTTTCCAAACAGGAGAGATTCTCTTCCAGCCACATATTGCAGGATTAATGTAATCTTTTATCCACTTTAATATCTATAAACTTATGCCCTTAAATTTTTTTATATAATTTCCAATTTTACCCTTTTTGGTCTCAGAAATACAATGGGTCTACATCAGGTAGTGGCAGATTGCATTGAGCGTTGCCATGCTGCCAAAATGAGAACCGATCATACTTGGTTCAGGACAGTTGTGTTGGCTGGAGGCACTGCATGTTTACCAGGGTTACCAGGTATAAATTAATTTATAAATATAAATGTTTTTAATTTTTAATATAATATTAATTTATAAATGCTTCATGTTTTAATTAATTGTAGAAAGATTAGAAAAGGAAGTACATGATCTTCTACCTCCCTCCATATCCAATGGAATTCGTGTTATCACTTCGCCTTATGGTGCAGATTCTGCATGGTATGGAGCAAAACTTCTCAGCAATGTAAGCATCCACAACCCTAATTTTTTTTTAATATTTCTTTTATGAATTAAAAAAAAAGTATATTTTAATCTTTGTAGTTGAGCACATTTCCAAATTCATGGTGCATCACTGAGGAGACTCAGTCAAAGTCAAAAAGATCCCTCATATGGTGAAAACTTATATGCTACAAATAAGTGTCTTGTTGTAATCTATATAACTATGTAATAACAATATTTCAGTATTTCATTGAATTAATTTTTTCTCCCTCTTCTTAGTGATGTACAAAGCTTACCTCAGCAACTGGTGGGCCCGCTGTTGAATCAAATATTTTGAAGGCTCTTCAGGTTGATCGTTCATACTCTGAAGATCAATCCATCATACAGCCATGTGTGACTGTTTTAAGATGTCTTAATAGCTCTCTATATGGTAGTTTCAAGTCTGAAACACAAGAGCTTCTCTTTCAAGAACTCGTGTGTTTGTTTTGAAGCTACAATGGTGACATTCAAAATGCTGCTAGAATCGCTTTGTTATAGATAAAGATTTCCACATCAATGGTGCAACACATGCTTGATTATGTTTTGGAAAAATCAAGTCCATCAACTGGTACCCCACATGGGAAAAAGAAAAAGAAAGTAACAACAGGTAATAATATATTAATCTTTATGATAAATTGTATTCATAATCTGTAAATGTGCCGTTTTTTTAATACAAGTTGTTTTCTGCAGTGGGATAGTCACTCCAAGAAAGTATTTGAAGACCTGATTTCCACTATTGTCCCATGTTGGCTATCAAGGACTGAAAATCCAGAAGAAGTGTTACAAGTTTTTTTTGAATATATTACCTGATGTTACTGAACATAGAAGGCTTTCAATCATTGTGCATCTTTTGAGTACTTTAGGGGAGAGTGGAAGCTTAGCTTCATTACAGAAAGGTAAGTTTGTCTATTCCAGTTTTATCCTTGCTAAACTGCCATGTGTACATGTGCACATTCTGATTACTTCATTTTCTCTGATATTGGTTCAGATCTTGGTCAATTTTCAGCAATATATGAATCCTGTTTTCCAGTTGTTACAAAAGAGTGGGAAAAGTTAGAGATAGTTGGGGTTGGAGTTGCTACATATGAGGTATCTTTGAAGAGATTTAGATTTTTTATGAGCATTTCATGATTTACAGCTTTTGTATTAACTTTTACACTTGATGCTTACATTGTTACAAAAGAGTGGCCTGTTGTTGTTCGTGTTGACTACATTCCTTCTCGTGTTGACTTACCTGCTTTAGGCCATGGGAAATATGTTGAACCTGTTAATCCATTTCAATGGAAGGTAACTTTCTTCATTTATTTACTTGTTTGCTGCCAATTTGTATGCATAGTCATAGTTTGACTTAATTAGTTGCTTATTTTGTTTATTAGTTGCTTGTTTTCTAGCTTATTATAGTCACTGATTGGTTTCTTGTTATGCTTAAATCTTAACAGCTATCAAGGCAACCTTCAACAGTAGTTTTGGACTGGCACCTTCTTGCAGAAGATATCATGTACGTGTTCTTGTGCTGCTATTGTGGATTCGGGAACATCCTTGCTTACTGGTCCAACTGTATGTATCTCACGTGAAGCTTCTGTTAGAACTATTAATCTTAGGGATTTCAAGTTTTTCATATTTCTTGTATCTAATTAGTTTGTAAATTTCCGTTACAACTTTTATTGATTTGTTTTATTTTTCCATGGAACGATTATTTCTATGACATTAAATTTTATGCAATGGATTGTATTTTTGTATATGATATTTTATTTATTATGAGACATTAAATGCAAATTTAATTTGAAAATTAGTAAATCTATAAATAATATTTTTTTTAAACATATAAAATTACGATACGCACAAATGTGTGTCATCTTCATTTATGACATGGCCTTTCTTGACAGGGGCTTTAATGATACGCAATGCGAGTCGTAATTGCGCGTCGTAAGGTTACGACACGCAAATGCGTGTCGTCTTCCTTTATGACAGGGTCTTCCTTGATACGCATTGCGTGTCGTAAATGTGTGTCGTAAAACGCGTGTCGTAATTGCGCGTCGTCTATAGACGACGCGCAAAAGCGTGTCGTCTCTCGTTATGACTGGGCCTTCCTTGACACGCATTTGCGCGTCGTCTGAGCGTTTTACGACACACATTGCGCGTCGTAAAAGGCTGTTTTTCTAGTAGTGATCGCACCGCATCACCTTATGGTTTCCGCATTTAGGGATTTTGGGAATTTGTACTCTGATAACATGTTACTATGATACTCTTTTGACTATTTTGATACTAGTGTTTTATTATTGAATGAAATTAAAAACAAAAATTTTATCCGTATTTCTGGGATGTTATAAATTGGTATCAGAGCTTTGGTTTGAGGGATTCGAGCATACTCTCGGGTGTGCCTGGACTCAAATCGAGGGTTTGGTAGGTTTTCCATAAAAAGAAACATTTTAATCTAAGGATTTTAATAAAATAAAAGGGTGCGATGCGTGCAATCAGCCGATCTCAAGTAAATCTTCTCAAAATACCCATACAAGCTATATGTTTTATGCTATGATATGAGAATTGCATGCTAGATTAGGGGCTAAGGATCTGCTCAGAATTGCATGATAGAATGCTAGGAGAGATGCCTTTATGTGCCTATCTGTATGAGCTTTTAGATTTGCATGCTAGTATCAAATCAGTTACTTGTTAGGATGACCTGTATAGGGTATGTTTTGAGTTGAATTGCCTAATGCTCGAATGTTGCATGCTTTGTGCTTTAGGAAATTCTGTTTATACTAGCTAATTAGTGGATTAATGCATTAGATTACATATTATTATGATTGGATAATTTTAGAAGGATGGCTTTAACTCTATAACGCAACTCTTGTTTGAGTCCAACCGTTATAATGTGGGACCCGTCATTCGAAGAATTATCTAGTACTAGTAGTATGTAATTATGTTCATGCAGTAGTTAGGTAGTATTTGTAGAATTTCCTTTTGCAGCTGATAGTAGAGAGGGGTGAGGAAGGGAGTCTTAGGGAGTCCCTATGAGATGCTTTGGTGTGTAGGACGCCTTATAGTTTGGTAAATGTATCAGTTGGGAAGAGTGACTTGAGGAGTCGGGGTAGTCCTTAAGAAGGGTATAAATAGGTGTGGAAGGTAGTATTGGGTCTGTACTATTAAAAGCACATGATTTATACCCAAGACTAGGAAGACCACGATAAATCTAGGGAACTCGAGAGTGTGAACCTTCTCGTGTGTTTGCTAATCGTTTATATGGTTATGTTTTAGAATAGTGGTGATATGTCACAGAGTAGGGGTTCAGGATCTGGATCTGGTTTGGTCACGGGCACCGAAACGGTTGATGAGGGATTACGCGAGTTCATTGCGTCATAGATTATTAGAGGCATCCTTGATGAGACCCCAGTGATGTTCGGTTCGATCAAGGATGGTATCATGGAGCTGATGGAGGACCACATTCGGATCTTTAGGGCCGATCTGGTCGCTAGCCAGTCTGGGGCCCATACTCTCTCCTTCAAGGATTTCAGGGGATGCGGGGCACCAGACTTCTTTGGGGTGAAGGACCCAATCGCATCCAGGCGTTGGATAGCTGACATTGAGTGTGCTCAGATGACGAGCTTCTGCCCCGAGGGTTCGAAGGTCAGGTTCGCAATAGGATGTTTGAGGGAGCGAGCCCAAGATTGGTGGGAGGAGATCGGCTATGCGTTGGGAGCCCCGGCCATTGAGGCCATGATCTGACCAAATTTTGTGACCTGGTTTCGAGCAGAGTTTGCACCGGTTGTTGAGGTGTAACAGTTAGGCAGGGAGTTTCTTGACATGAGGCAGACGACTGAGACTGTGGCGGATATCACCGCCAAGTTCAGAGAAAAGGCATTATTGGTACCCCAGTATGCAGTTAATGAGGAGATGAGGAAGACCCGATACCATGATATGCTGAGATCTGACATCAGGGAGTTCGTTAGTTTTTCTACCTGCCCGACTCTGGATGACATGATATCCAGGGTGCGGGAGCGAGAGATTGATCTGGAGCACATACGAAAGAGGAAGGGGGAGCCTGGGCAGACAGTTGGGGTTTCAGCAAAGAAACCCAAGGGTTTTGACTCTAGGTCCAAGGGTCAGCAGGGCCGGAGGCGTTGTATCAAATGCGGCAGGTCGCTTGATGGGGTTTTGCAGAGCGAGTGGTTCAGGCTGCTACAAGTGCGGCAAATCAGGGCACTTTAGCAAGGATTGTATTGCTTCTATCACCACCACACAAAAATCAGACCTGATTTACTTTCATTGCAATCAGAGGGGCCACAAGAAGGCCAACTGCCCGAGTTTAGCATTAGGAGGACTAGCAGTAGCACCTGCTCCAGCGACCCTACGAATTACAGATGACCGCCAGGGCAAGGCAGATGCGCTTGTTGTGAGGAGCAGGGCCTTTTTACTGACTATCAAGGAGGCACACGCTGCACCAGATTTGGTGATAGGTATGTTTATTCTCCTTAACTCTTTATTTATATTGATTCTCTACTTATATTTGTGAGTTTTGTTTTAGGATCGTTCCTTGTGAACGACATCTCTGCTTTGATATTATTTGATTCGGGGGCTACCCGATCTTTTGTGTCTCTTGCGCTCAGCAAGAGGTTTGTTAGAACTCCAAGTGAGCTGGATCATCCATTAGAGGTTGAGATTGCAGATGATCGATCTGTCCGATTATTGAGGTTTCATCGGGATTGCGTTCTAGAGATGTTTAGCGAGCGGTATCTGGTCGACTTGGTTCCCATTCCTTTGTGCGAGAACAAGGTTATAGTGGGGATGGATTGGCTGAGCCCTAATGGGGTAGTGATTTATTATGAGTGCCAGATGGTATGTGTTCAGACCCCAAGTGGGGGAGAGTTGGTGGTCCATGGAAAGGGCGCTCAACGCGGGATAGTCATATGCTCAGCCGCTAGGGCCAGATGCTATCTTCATTAGGCTTGTTCCAGTTTCGTCGCTTATGTTATGGATACCCGGGAGAAGGGTAAGGCGTTGATTGATGATGTGTCGATTGTGCGGGAGTACCCAGATTTGTTTCCGGATGATTTTCCTGGAGTGCCTCCGGAGAGGCAGGTGGAGTTCCGGATTGACTTGGTTCCTGGTGCGGCTACGATAGCCAAAGCACCATATCGATTGGCTCCACCAGAGATGCAGGAGTTGTCTACACAACTACAAGAGCTGTTAGACAAGGGATTCATCCGACAGAGTAGTTCGCCTTAGGGTGCGCCGATCCTGTTTGTGAAGACGGTGTTGGATTAGGTGTCTAAGCCCATAACTATAATTGGTATGTATTTGACCCGATAGTAGCATGATCCATTTTTGGGTTGCCTTCACCGAAGCAATTTGATAGGATGGATATTTGAGAAAGAGATTATTTGTGATTTATTAATATATTATAAGTATAATATATTAATTGAGAAATCATATTATTTAATTGGTATTGATCAAGAATTAATTTAGTGATCAAAAGAGACTAATTAAATTAACGGTGACTGATTATGTAAATCAGTGATACATATAGTTTGGGCTAATGATCCATGATTGATTAGTAATGGACTAAGCTTATGTGAGAGTCCGTGAAGTGTTAGTCCAAATGAATTATTGGATTAAAAGCCTAAGAGAATGGATTAGGGTTTACAAATGACCTTTGGAATTCTACACTATATATGTAACCCCCTAAGCCCTAAAATCGACACATGTGAATTCTAAGAAGAAGCTAGCCGATTTTTGGTGCCTCCAAGCTCTCTCTCATTGTCCTCCATTGTTCTTGGTGTTTGTGACACATTTGAGGCATCACACTTGAGGTGCTAAGCTCTTGAAAGGCCAAGTTCTACAAGCTACAACAAAGAGGTAATCATCTAACTAGTTTTTATGTTTCAAATATCAATGTTGTATGCTAGTTAGGCTTCATGCTTTGGAAAAAGAAAATTGCATGTATAACTAGAGAAAAATTAGATCCAAGGCATTAGGGTTGTATGTACACCATAGGAGTATTATAGCACTTAAAACCCATCAAAAGGATGGGTCGCATCGGATGTGTATTGATTACTGTAAGTCCCTAATCTGCTTGTGTATCAATCAGATCCGTTTGATGGTGCGGAATCCCAATCAAACGGATGATGTCAGATCAATAGAAGAAGAAGGAGAAGAAGAATAACTTGAATCTTGAATGTATTGATGATATGATTGAAGTTCCTTACACAAGATTCACTTTCTCTCTCTAGAAAACACCTTAGAATA